GTTGTCCTGTTCGGCCCAAGTGCATCCCATCCCATCCCAATATGCCTATTCCTCCTCTCAACCGTCCGTGCTGCTACGGTCCTACCCCTCAAAAAAAAAACTAGAATTAGAGTATTATTAAGCTTTCAGCTGGACCCCTGTGTGGTAAGTGCCTGAACCCTGACGCTGCTGCCATGCATGCATAATCTCATGTCACAAGTTCCTGGAGCATCAGCATGCCATGGTTCCCAAATTTGTGTATGATGATGCCAATGCAGCAGTGCTGCATTTTGCCGAGTTCTTAGACAGATTTCATTTCATGGGTACCAAACAGTAGGGCACAGCGCCACCAGAAGTGGACCGCCCAACAGGAAAAAGAAATTCAGTTCATGATTGACCTCCCAAGCAGCAGGCATGTCTGCCCCAACAATGTGACTTCTGCGTTTGTTGTCGTTTTTAGCTGCTCCAACTTCTCCTCGAAGAACGGCACCTCAAGCATGCAAGCAACCTTCTCGAATAGAGGAAAGTTGTCCTTCGTACCATCCTTCCGAAGTAAATTCTCGGCAAGGTGTCAAGTGCACCAACGGTGGTGCAAAGGTGCATACCCCGGAATCTGCTCCTGTACAGCACTGAGTATGCCCAGCGTCTATCAGATATGACACCAACCTCCCTATGAGGGCCAACGACATGTATCCTAACAAGCCGCAAAAACCATCCCCAGCTATCTTTGTTCTCTCTCTCCACCAAAGCGAAAGCCAAAGGAACCAATGCGTTGTCTGCGTCACACGAAATGGCTACCAAAAGTGTGCCCATGTACTTGCCAAACAGAAAAGTACCATCAATGGATAACACTGGACGACAGTGCCTGAAGGCCTCGACGCACTGGGGAAAGCACCAGAATGCACGAAAGAATATCTGCCTCCCGTCATTCCATTCATTCGGCTTCGGGATATATACGTAATGCATGCCTGGATTTGCTGTTTTCATTGCATTGAACATTGCAGGCAACTGCTCGTACCCCTCCTCCCAGTCCCCATATATCATCTTCCAGGCCCGTTGCTTTGCCATCCATGCTTTCCCATACTTTATGTCATACTTAAATATCTCCTTAGTCATCTCTATAATTGTCCTGGCCTTTAAGTTGGGCTGACCCTTCAAAGTTGTGTATAACTTTCTGACAATGAGGATAGAGGTCAACTGTCTATGCTTCTGTTTTAGATCTGTCTGGGCACAAGTGTGTGGACCTACAATTTTGGTGATCTTGAATTTCCCTGTGGCATTCTGTTTGCGAGCACAGACCCTCCAATTGCAATCTGTCATCTCGAACACCACCGTGTAACGGCGCTCCACATAGGAGTGCCTCACCTTGAATGGTCTCTTACGTCTCACAGAATATTCCTGTAGCCACCTTCTTAAGGTGGGCAAGTCCTTGAAGACCAAGCCCTTCTCAATTTCCACGCTGACATCGGCCTCAGGAGCCTCTAGCAGCTCGTCATCTCTTCCTTCTCCATAAGCATGTTGAGAATGACTAAGGTCGCTGAATTCATGAACCAGTGGATCACGATCAGGACACAAGCGTCTGATGAGCTCCATTTCTTGTTCGCTCAAAGCTACAATTGGGCGGTCATCATCAGAATCAACGGCCCTTGCTGTGCCATAAGGCTCCTCATCATCCACAATATCAACATCTACACTGTTAGAGGCCATAAACCCTGGGTCCATGTTGGTTGATGGAGGAACAGGAGCACAACCATCATTATCGGGATTGTCTCTTGCATGTAAAGCACAAATATGGATAGCATTGAGACAAAGGAATGGAATGAACAAAGAATAAGGAAAGCAAAAGTGTTACTAAATCACTTACTAGGATGATTCTGGGTCAAAGGGATCTCCTGAGGGGCACTAATAACATCATCAGTCCCACATTCTGCACGGACACTAGGACATACACCAACCTCATTTGGGACGGACTGAGCATCGCGCACCACGACCACATATTCCACATCCACCTCATGGTTGGGTAACAGAGGCTCAGAGGGTGTCGGATTCTCTGGTGCTGGCGACAACCTATGAGGGGGTGAATACCCATGAGGGGTGAGATCATTAGACAACTTTCGCACAACCAAAGAAACTCATTCTTCATGACAGTTTTGACATATTTGTCCCATTGAGCCTCTGATGAAATTGGGACCAACCGCCTCAAAATTGTCCCTTACCTGCCATGGTGAAGTACCCCCTCAACTAAGATAGCATCTTCATTTGAATTGCATTTAAGCTCATCACGAGCCCTACCAAACAACTCAGAAAACAATGGCCGATCATCGAATATCACTGGCACCCTTTGCATTCCAACAAAACTGACATTCACAAACTCATCTTCCTCCACACTTCCTCCATGATACAGGGTGACTATGTTGTCCATCTAGTTGGTATGCACAACACCAAAGTTATTACGGGTTTAACTAATATGGGTATAACTAAATTACATACATATAAAAGTTTCCAACTCTCTACCTAAATAAATAAGTATTTAATCTAAACCACCTATCTATCTAACTACATCTACTACAAGTACTACCGATATAACTAAAGTACCTAACTATCTAACTATCTATCTAAATTAGCTAAATAAATATCTACCTAAATTAGCTAACTAAATTACATCACTAAATCACTAAATAAATGTAATAGCACATCATCAGTAGAATAGAACTAACAATCTAGGATAGTTCAAATAAGACAACAATACTATTCTTGATGTTGGGCTTATGCTTCCTAACAGCCACAAAAGTCTCCATTATATCATCTTCATTCACACTGAAGAAAACATCTTTACAAATTACTAATTGCTTTTGAATTTTACAAATTTGCATTCCTACCACATAGCTACCAATGTGCGTTCCTAGTTTGTCACAGGAATGTGCAATGTGCTACCAATGTGCTAGTACAATCCTACGTTCCTAGTTTCCTACCATATGGCTACGAGTGCGCAAGGCTGCTGCAAGTGAGATTAGTGAACTACCTCGCTGCTTGCCTGCCGGCTTGCTGCTGGGGTTGTCTGCTTCGCCGCCGGTCCTCAGCTCCTGCTCCACTCCAGTGCGGCGGTACGCCAGGTGGCCGCCGCAAGCCGCGCCGGCGAGCCAGCCAACCGCCGGGTCGCTCCTCCTCCCATCCGCCCTCCCTAGCTTCCCCTCCATGGAGGCGTTGCGCCCTCCCTGGATGCGTGGCGGGCACCTGGGCGGGAGCCCAAAGTAATGCGTGCTACATGCAAAGACCCGTGGATCGACGTAGTACACCGGCAGGACCGCCTCGGAAGCCGCCCACGCGCGCAGATGTGCCTCATTATCAAGAACTCGGAGGTCGTTCCTGAACCACACGACAGCCACCCCGACGCCGCCTCTCCTCAAGCTCGGCGACGTGTACCTCTGGAAGGCCTCGTCTGCCACTGCGCAGGCCTCGTCGGCGCCGAGGGAAGGCACCGGCAACGCCGCACCACGGGGGCAGGCGCAGGGGCGGTGCCGCTGCACCGGCGGAGGAGGACGGGACGGCGCGTCGGAGGCGGATAGGGCCTGCTGGCGGGCACCTGGGCGGCGGGGCTGGGGCTGGGGCAGGGGCGGCGGCCAGTGCCTCCGGTGCCAGTGGCTGTGCCGCTGCGCCGAAGGGGGAGGAGGCAACGGCGCGTCGGAGGCGGACGCGGCCTGCCGCTGCGTGGCGAGCACCGTCGGCAGCAGCGGAGGAGGAGGAGGAGGAGGAGAGGAGATGAGAGGGACGGGGAGGCGACCGGCGCATGGGGGATGGCGCGCGGTGGAGCGAGCGGCAGCCGGCGGAGGAGGCGCGGGCGATGGCGGGGCTGGCTGGCGGCGGTGGTGAGAGGGAGAGACAGAGAGCGTGAGAGAGGGAGAGAGCGCGAGAAAGAGTTGCGGCGGCCACACGCGGTTATCCGGTACCTCGGCGTCAAAATACATGGCGCCGAGGTCGGCACCAAGATCTGCGGCGCCGACCTCGGCGCCATGTATTCTGGCGCCGAGGTACTAGCCACGTCAATGCCACCTAAGCTGCCCTGCTGTGCTCGGACAGGCACCTCGGATCCAAGATCTGTGGCGCCGAGACGTGTTATCTCGGCGCCAGGAGTCCCGGCGCCAACCCCCAGGGTCCAAAGATGTGTTTACGTCTCCCAGGGGGGTCAAACGTAATTTTTTTAAAAAAAAGAGCTAAATTGTAAAAAATTAGGTTACCAAAGCTACTGAAGTTGCATCAAACACGTATTTATCAAACACGTATTTCACATCTTAGTCAGCGAAGGCACATCAAAATGGATACGAATACCTAACATCACAAGGAGAGGAACCTATATATTTTACATTTATTCTTTGGAGGGGATAGAGAAAACTTAGTATGGGCGTCCCTGCTCTTCAACAACATAGAAAGCGTAGTTTTCTCTATTCTCGGAAAAGCTAGTTTCCATGAATATTTAATACGATCTATTTATAAAAACGATAGGCTTGGACTTTGGTGCTAGGCATATATTGACTTAATCAAAATACAGAGAAGTAAGATGACAGCATGTTTACGCTTCATTCAGTTGATTAGTGCATCATGAGTAGCATTTTCCACATATAATTCCTTTTTCCTGTCTGAATTAAAGATTATATTCGGACTGACTTGGTCCTCAGTAATACTAGTACACTGTTGGTTGAATTAAAGATTATATTCGGACTGACTGGCTTTACAGCTGAAAGCACGTGGATTGACGCTTTACCGTTGCCGTCCTAATACGGCAGCCTGTTAGCCTGTTTGTTTAATCGTAAACGATCATACTATTAATTGGTTTGATTGGTTTGGTGTGAGAGAAAAATAATATTCTAACTTGCAATCCACGATCGTCGTGTAACAGGCTGACGGAGTACTCTGTTTTCTTGGGGACCCACGTCCACATTTCCGCATTGCTTGCAGTGTTTCCAGACTCAAAATAAAAAAGGACGACTCCACGGGAATTCCACAGGCAATCAGGCAGGGCCACAATGGATGCGCTCCGCAACGCGCTTCTCAGCGAGCTCGCCAGCAGAGCCATATCCTTCCTGGTGTCCACGTGCGGGAGCAGGCTGATGCCGGTGCCGGCGACCGTCCGGGAGCGGGAGGAGGAGAGGCTGATGCACCGTCTGCGGCTCCTGCTCCTGAGGAGCGCCACGATCGTCGAGGAAGCCGAGGGCCGGCGCGTCACCAACCGTGGCGTGCTACGGCAGCTCAGGGTCCTGAGCGACGCGATGGTGAGAGGCCACTACGTCCTCGACACCATCAGGTACGACGCCGGCGGAGGAGAACGGCGGGAAGAAGAAGACGGCAGCAAGGAGGTGGTTCCAGCGTTCGCCCTGTCCAGATCCACCCTAGCCAAGCGTGCCCGGTGCGAGTTCTCATCTGAAACCACGGCCACGGCCGGCCCGGCACGCAGGAGGGACACCTCTCTCCAGCTACAGCGGATGGTTCGCAGCCTGGAGGCCATCCTCGCCGGCGCCATGGAGCTGGCCGTGTTCCTGACGGCCTGCCCGCCCGTGTCGTGCCGCCAGCCTTACAGCGCCCATCTGTTCCTGGACAAGTGCATGTTTGGCCGACACGCGGAGAGGGACCAGGTTCTTGAATTCTTGCTGCAAGCTGAGCCGCCGGGGCCGGTGACTGCTGCAAACCCGGGGCCGGGCGTTCTTCCGATCGTCGGCCCCGCGCTCATCGGGAAGAGCACTCTTGTGGAGCATGTCTGCAACGATGAGAGGGTGCGCGGCCATTTCTCCCTTATTCTGTTGCACGCTGCTGCCGGGAGTGCTGGCCTTGGAGGTCTCGGAACCATGGCCACCTTGAGGGACAACTGCGCGACCAAGCATCACAGCAGCACGGAAGACGAAAGATGGTTGCTTGTCATCGAGCTCTCAGGGGACGTGGACGACGAGGAATGGAACAGACTCTTCTACTCTCGTGGAAGATGCATGCCACGGGGGAGCAAGGTGATACTCACGAGCCGGTCTGAGAAGATCGAGAGGTTCGGGACGACACGAGCTGTCCGGCTGAGATGCCTCAGCACGGAAGCCATGTGGTATTTCTTCAAGCTGAGCGCGTTCGGGAGCGCTGACCCAGACGAGCACCCGAAGCTGGCGTCGTTGGCCATGGACATGGCGGTCGAGGCGCGGGGGTCGTTCCTGATCGCCAACAACATGGCCGCCATGGTGAGAGCCGACCTCAGCAGCTGGCAGCTCTGGTGCAAGGTTCTCGCGTTGGAGAGGCATTACATGCGGAAGAACCTCGTGCTGTTCGGTGAGTACCCGGACGACCTCAAGGCCAAGGATCGTCCTCGCCGCACTTGGAGCATGAACAAGCTGCGGAAATCCAATGAGTGTTTCCTCGTGTACGAGACTTACCAGAGGTGCTCAGCTCAACCTCAACAGGAGGACCTCCCGGACCCGGAGGTGACGATGATGGATATGTTGTTGGAACGAGCACAACCACGAGGAAGGTTCGAGGTCTTGTGTTGGAAATCTGTGCTGCCGCCCTGCTTTAGCTACATATGTCAATGTGAGATCCGTGGTACATATGCCCAATAGCTATGCAATCGTATACAGTACTTTATATGTAAGTGTGGTGTGCTCGTGTGTATGTATATCACATAGGAGGTCTACAAGGATATATATAATCATATACGTACGTACGTGGCTGTTTGGTACAGATTTTTGGGCAGCTTCCGAAGTTGTTTTGCAGTGTTTTCTGCCAAACGGTTAAGAAGGGAGGTGCTCCTCACGTAAAGCTACTACATGCGACTGGCAGGGGCGGAGCTTCCTTAGGGCCAAAGAGGGCCATGGCCCCCCTTATACAAACAATTTCTTAAGTACATATTTAATTCTACCATTCAGTTGACAAGAAAATGTTAATATGGCCCCTATTAATGTTGATCATATTTGATTTGGCCCCCTCCGTTAAATGGTCCAAGCTCCACCACTAGCGGCTGGTATTCGGTGAAGTTGAAATAGGCACCTTTCCCCCACTCCTTCCGCTGGCGCGCGGGCCTGAACCCTTTTGCCTCGGTGCGAGCAGGTAAGGCCAAACAGGCGCGACGGTGAGCCAGAGTGTGGGCATGACGATGAGGAGGACACCAGCGTGGCTATGCAGGAGAGGAAGGGCCGCGACGGTCGGTGGAGCATGCTTCTGGCCGGCGACGATGGAGTTCGAGACCAAGTTTTGAAAGTCGACGACTACGATGCGCCTAGTCGCTAGGCTACGGCCCGGCGCCTGGACTAGGGGGGTGGTCGCCCCTCAAGTCGACGGGAGCGCCTAGGCGGCGCTAGGCGGCGCCTAGAAGCCCTAGGCGGCGCAGAATCGACTCGAGTCGGCCCGGGTTTCCCAGCGCGCGCAAAATATTACGTGGTGGCCAGCGAGCGCGCGCGGGGGAAAGGTTGGCGCCGGGGGGAAATTGCCGCGCGAGCGACGGATAAGGCCACGTATGGGTACCGAAGCCGCGCGCGACGCTATTCCACTGCCAGGCGACGCTCCTCTCCACCGGGAAGCAGCTTCCGCCGGCGCCGACGCTCCTCCCCGCCCGCCAGTCCGTTCCGACCTCGTCCTCCTCCACTCCTCCCCGGTCTCCGCCCAGCTCGTCCTCCTCCCCGCATCGAAGCCTCGAAGGGCCTCCCCGCCGGCCAACTCCCCGCCGCCCAGTACCCTACTGAAGAAGTGTGAGACAGCCTCATGTCATGTTTGCTTTGCTTTTGTGATCTTAGAACTCTTTGCTTTTGTCATGTGTGCTTGTGTTTTGTGTTGTGAGAACTAAGAACTGAGAATCATGTGTTGTAATGTGTGTCTTCTATCCATTTTATGTTCTCTGTTGCTGCCTGTTGTTGTCTTCTACTCTTCTCCATTGCAGTTGGACTGTTGGAGACTTGGAGCATTGCTGCATCAACTACAAGTAAGGAACATCACTTCTGTTATTCTGTATCAACTACAAGTAAGGACTAAGGACCTAAGGTATGTCTATCTAAATTATTCATGATTTCTGCTATATAAATATATATATTATGCTATATATATTATATATTATACTAAATTGGCAAAACGCCTAGCATCGCCTAGGCTAGCCTAGGCTGGACTAGTCGCTAGGCTAGGGGTCATCGCCTAGATTTCGCCTAGCGCCTAGAAAAACTTGGGTTCGAGAGGATAATAAGGAAAGAAGAAAGAGTGGCACGTTTGTGGTTGTAAAGAGGCGAGAGAAATTAGATAAGAGGGAAAAAATAAAATAAAGGAAGAAAGAAAGGAAAAAAAAAGAGAAGTGTATTATGATCATTTCACTTTTTTAAGAACATATGTGTATATGTAAAAGATAACTAATTCTATGGCTTGATCCAAACTGCACTTGTGACGTAGCCGACCCAACTATGATTAGTTCAAGAATCTTTTTAATGTTCTGTTATACCATTGTCTAACTTATTTGATCTTTTAATTATCATATTGGACATTTGGACATGTGTTGTGATGATTTAGCTCCTTTAATGAGGTGGTGGACATGTGCTGTGATGATTTAACTCCTTAACGATCTGTCTAACTAATGAAGCAATAATGGCCATGTGCAATGATGAATACATATCTGCTTTTATGTTCTGTTTCATTTAAGTTGAGGGAACGGGCTACTGCAATGGTGACCATGTATATTTACATGTCTTCCTATTGTTAATAAACGAGTCGATGATCATGAGCTATGATGATTTTGTTAACCGAGGCAATGATTTTGTGAATAATTGACCATTGCCTATGTTGTGCAAAGTTACCATTGGCATTCTTATGCGGGATTTGTGCTTCCTTCTTATGTGTCATTTCCTACGATGCCTTCTTATGTTCAGTTTGCTAATGATCATTTCTTGTGATGCCTTTGAAAGGATCAAGATGCCCAAGAGGCGGGGTGAATTGGGCTAATTCTAAATTTTCTTGCAATAATTAAATCCTATTGATAGCCCAATTAACCCCTTGTGCCTAGAAAGTGTTTCTAATGTTCTATCGCACAAAAAGACTTGCAACCTAAGTTCCAATCCTACTCTAGCATGGCAATTCTAGAAATGTAAATGACAAGAATTGAATTGCTCAAAGTAAAGAGAGGAGAGGAAACGCGGTGATGTTTTGCCGAGGTATCGGAGAGTCGCCACTCCCCACTAGTCCTCGTTGGAGCACCCGCGCAAGGGTGTAGCTCCCCCTTGATCCGCGCAAGGATCAAGTGCTCTCTACAGGTTGATTCTTTGACACTCCGTCGCGGTGAATCACCCACAACCGCTCACAACTTGAGTTGGGTCATCCACAAGCTGTCCGGATGATCACCAAGCTCTCCAATCACCACCAAGCCGTCTAGGTGTTGGCGATCACCAAGAGTAATAAGCACGAACTCTCACTTGACCACGACAAGCCTAGGGAGAAGGATGGATGCACACTTTGCTACTCTTGATCTCACTAATGGGGACTCTCTTTGGGATTCTCAAATCTCAATCACCTCACTAGGACATTGCTCTTCATGGCACTCAAACGTTTTTCTCAGCTGTTGGAATGAGCAAAAGTCACTCCACACACGAGTGGAGCTTCTATTTATAACAAGGGCTGAAAAACGAACCGTTATGTGCCTCCGCGGGGTGACCGGACGCTCCGGTCAGTTCAACCCGCACACCAGTGTTTAAGTGTTGACCGGACGCAGGCAGGGTCCGATCACCACTGATCGGACACGTCCGGTCGCAAATATCCCTCACTGGAACCTTACTGTACTCAACCGGACGCTGAACCCCCAGGGTCCGGTCAGTACTGACCGGACGCGTCCGGTCGAAGAATTCCTTCTCTGGAACCTTACTGGAGTCGACCAGACACTGGTCCTTAGCGTCCGGTCGCGCCAGACGCAATCTCCTTGGTCAAATGAACTGACCGGACCCTGCGGCCAGCGTTCGGTCGCACCGGAGCCAGCGTCCGGTCAGTATTTGACCCTCCATTCACTTCCAACTCTCGATCATATGTGAATGAAGTTTGCTCCATAGGATCTAAGGGCTTTGTAGGAGCAACCTAATGCTAGACTTAGCAAGTGTGCACCACAACTAACTCACTAGACTCACCTAGGTCAAGCTACCCGTCCATACCCCCTTTAATAGTATGGCCAAAGGAAAAACAAAGTCCTAAACTACTCTAAGTGTCTCTCCAACTTCAATCGACACTTAGAACTAGTCATCCTTAACCTTGTCGTCCATCCTTTGAAAACCAAAACGATTTCCATCGTAGGGGCATGACATCTATGATTGCCCAATCGATCTCCATTACCATGACCTAACTTAATTGCCTCTGCAAAACACACGTTAGTCATAGTATTCTTGTATTGCCATTAATCACCGAAACCCAACTAGGGGCCTAGATGCTTTTAATCTCCCCCTTTTTGGTGATTGATGACAATACCACCTCGAGTATGTGAAAGAGTTGAGGTTTTTATCATGCTTGGATCATATAAGCTTTTGTTAATAAGAACAAAAGAGTTAGACAAGCTTATATGACCCAAGCCAACATAATGTACTCAAAAGATATGAAATAAGCATGAGTACAAGTACTAAAGCTCATTTGTATCGGAGTATAAACGCGGAAGCAAGGCAAATGATCATAACACAAGTGATATGACATATAAATAGTTATGAAGTAGAGAGCACTCATGTCATATATCACAATCACGTAGATATCACTATCACATAGATATAGTTTAATGCATGAAGGTAAACACACGAATGCATAATGGTAATAGTGTATCACACAAATAAAAACTCCAAATGTATACAATAGACTAATAGCTAACTAGGCTCCCCCTAAAAGTCGCTCCCCCTGAGTCTACATACTCGAACCCTCTCCCCCTTTGGCATCAAACACCAAAACCTAAGGGCTGGTCGGTGGGGCTGCAGCGGATGAGTCGGGCGCTAAAGTATGAGGAGCAAGCTGGAACTGGGCGCCATCATCATCTGACCCTAAGCTTTGTGCTGACTGACCCTCTGTGGCTGGGAGCGTCGCTGAAGCGGTCTGGGTCTGAGCTGGGACAGGTGCTGCCTGTGATGCTGCTGGTATGTCTATCATAGGATCTGAAGATGCAACAGAAAAAGGGAGCCTCTGAGTAGTCACGGCGACGGGAGCTGCTGTAGAAGGACCTAGGGCATGCATATGTGGCGGTGTAGGCATCCCTGTCAACTCGCTAAAAGATGCTCCAAGACTCCTGGAGACTGACGTGTTAGGCACAAATAGCGAGGATGACTGATCTGGTGTGAAACCTGTCTGAAATGGTGTGAACTGCGGGGCTACCACTGGCGAGGATAACCACTGGGACACCTGTACTGTGGGAGAAGCAAACTGAGCTAGAGGCTGTCCCTGACTCTAAAGCCCACTAGGCTGTACTGTTGGAGTCATCATAGTGGTAGCAGGCTGACCAATCTAGGGCGAAGGCTGTGGCTGTGGGGCCCCAATGGCTGTCACTACATGCTGCATGAATCCCAAAAGCTGCTGCTGCATGAGTAACTGCTGCTGATGCATCTACTGCTGCTACTAGAGGACCTGCTGCTGT